TTCCTACAGCCCCGCCCACCGCCCGCAGGCCCGCCCCCGCGTTCACCCAGCTCGTGCGGCACTTCGTGGCAGAACACCGCTAGGGAGGTGGCCACCCCGGTCTTCCAGGAGGATGCAAAGGCGGCGCCCACCGCCAGGCCGTCGGCGAAGTTGTGCACAGCGTCGCCCAGGGTGATCAGGTAGGGAAGGAGCCGCAGTTCTGCGGACGGCGGGCGTGAGTCCGCGGGGGCCCAATTCTCCCCTTGGCACTCCGGCCCTGTCCTCCCACAGGCCCAGCCCTTGGGGGCTTCCCTTGGGGCTCACCTGGACTCAGCCTCCGGGGTTCCAGGTGCAGCAGCTCCGGGGTTTCCTCTACCACCTGCGAAAAGGCGGTTGAGCCCCGCAGGGAGAGGGAGGAAGGGGGTAGCTGGGTCCCAGGGCAGCCCTGGAGGCCAGGACAAAGGCCTGGTGTGGGCATTGTTGAGCGTGGGTTGTGAGGGCTCCGGGGCCTTGCAAGGGTGGGGGCCAGGCAGCCAACTCACCAGATCTGCCTGGGAGCCTTCCTGGGGCTGCTTGGGTTGCCGGAGCTCGCTGGGTGCCAGCTGCAGTGCCACGCCATGGCTGTGGCCACCATGGCTGCCGTGGCTGTGGCCACTGTGGCTGCAGGGCCATTCCTTCTCTGAGTCCTGTGGGGTTAGTGGCTCAGGGTGCACCAGGCCCACCCCCCACCCCACTGGCAGGAGGGGTCCAGTCACCAAGATACTGACCTTTGAGTCCCTGGGCAGCAGGAGGTTAAAGAGATTCTCGAATAGGAAGAAGGCGTAGAGGCCCCCCAGCATGGCCAGGAGGCGCCAGGTGGGCTGTGGGCTGAGGCCCTCCCCACTGTGCGCATGCAGCCCCAGCACCTGGAGGGCAGGGACCCAGCTGAGACCTGAAGGCCTGCCTCTGTCCCCCACCCCAGGCAAGGAGATGGAGCCTGGGGCCCCCTGGGCTGGATGGGTCCTGGCCTGGAGGGCTGACCTTGGGTGTCAGGTGCAAGAGGGCGTCTCCAGTGAGTGCTCCCACAGCCAGGCTCAGGAAGGTCTGCCGGACGTAGTGGGCCCCCACGCCGCAGCCAGTGCAGGTCAGCAGCAGGAGGCCTAGCCCTGCACTCAGGCAGGTGAGCAGTGTGGCCAGGGAGCCGTACAGGTACCCTGAGAGGGCACAAGCAGGCCAGGAGTGGCCCCTCCTGCCTTGAAGCCACCCTCTTCCCCTCTTCCTCCCTGTCCCTGAAGTGCCCCTCTGCAGTTTCCCCCCTGTCTGAGGCCCCACCATCTTCCTCTCTTCTCCCCTCCCCTTCAGTAGTAGCCGTGCCCCCCCCCCTCACTCAGCTGGGAGCACTCACTCTCCACCTGGCTGAGCTGGTCTTCACTGGGGAGCGTGGGTTGGGGGCTGCAAGCCCCGCTCAGCTGCTGCTGGAGCAGGGCAGGGCTCAACTGGGCCCAGGCCTCTGGGGTCACCCCCACGTGCTCGGGCAGCCCATACACGGCCATCACATCCCTGGCACTCAGGCATACCTGGGGGCAGCAGGAGGGGTCAGGACCCTGCCAGGTAGAGCCCTGTCTTCCCTAGGGCCCCACCCCTGCCCGCTCCAGCTCAGAGGCCTCACTGAGGCCTGCAGGGCTGCTCACCGTGTCCCACGTGCTGGGGCTGCTGTTGGAGGTGGCAGGGGCCACAGGGCGCTGGTGGCTGGCCCCCCTGCCCAGCTCACCATGGTCACTGTGGTCACCATGGGCCTCGCTGCCCACGCCCAGACGCTGCATCAGGGCCGCCAGCTCTGGCAAGGAGGACAGTCAGCACCAAGTCTGCAGGGCCCCCAGTCCTTCCCATGGGGCCCAGCTCACCGGCCAGGGTGATGTTGGGGGCCTCACTGCCCTGCTGGCGGAAAACGAAGTCCACAAAGTATTGAGGGCTGGGCAGGGCGTGGAAGCAGGAGCCGCTCCTCACGTGGTCCAGAAGGGCAGCCAGCGCTGGGCCGGGGCCGCCAGGTGCCCCTGCCACTTCCCCTAGCAGCTGAGAGACGCCTACGCAGGTCTGGGGGAAGCAACCTCCTCTGACCCAGGGTTGGGGGCACTGCCACTCTCTACCCACCCACCTGAGGCTGGGGTCGTCTTCAGCCCTGCCCCCACCAGCCGGGTGCCCCTGGTCCCTGTCCCTGTGGATGATGGACCTCAGCCTGCTGCAGCCAGGCCCACCCTTAGCTAGGTGGTTCCCTAGCCCTGAGCCTCCTCACTCGCTGCCCACAGCCTTCCCAGCCTCACCTCTGCCACTGTGGGCCAGCCAGCTCGGGCCTGGATCCTCCAGAGCAGCCGGCTCAGGCCCAGGGTCAGAGCCTCAGGGCCCTCGAGCAGGGCCAGGAGACGGTCGGCATGGGAGGCCCAGCGGCCAGCCCGGACATCTGCACACGTGGCCTCTGGGTCGCTGAGGTAGAGGGCGGCCGCGGCACCAAAGCGAGCCATGTGCCTGGCCTCCAGGACCTGCCCTGCAGGGAGCCCGGGCTCCTCCGGCTTGCCCAGGGCCAGCACGTCCTCCACTGTCAGGCACTGTGGGCAGATGGGGCATGTCCCCTCCGGGCCCTCACAGCCACCCCTTTCCCGGCACCCTAGACCCCCATGCCCCTGCTTTCTTCCTGGAGCCCGTTGGTTTGGGGCTCCAGGCCATGCATGGTCCTGGGCAGGGCAGGCCTTCCGAGCCCCAGCAGGGAGGGTGGGCTCTGGCCTGCGGGCAGGGCCTGGGTGCCCGATCACCAGCCTCGGCCCGCCTCCTGGAGTTTGCCCAGGGCCCTTTGCTGCCAGCCTCAGGGTGGAGGGGGCGGGAAGGGGCTGGGGCGGGGGGCCGTCGGGTGGAGCCATTACCTTTCCACACGGCACGCCAGCGCAGTGCACACGGGCCGCCAGCGTATTTAACAGGCTGCCCAGTGCCTCCCGGTCCAGGGCGCCCCGGCCTGCCCTGAGCAGGCTCAGCAGGTGGGTGGGCTGGGCCGCTGTCACCATCACCACCAGAAGGGCCAGCAACAGCCCCGACTCCCGCAGGGCCAGGGCCTCCACACTTGGGCCAGAGGGCTCTGGCTGTGCGGCTGTGCGGCTGTGGCCACTGGGGCTGATGGGGCTGCCTGGGCTGGGCTTGGACCCGCCCGCCAGCCCAGGCCCTCTCCAGGCACCTCCTGCTGGGCACTGTGATTGGCTGCAGGAGGTGCCCCAGTCAGCCATTCCAGCGGCAGGCACGTCCTCTGATGGCACGATGGCAGGATGGCTGGAGCCACTGGTTGTGGGGGCCCTGGGTTGGGCTCCTTCTTAGGTGGGCAGCCAGGCAGTGCCCCTCTGCCTGACCCCTCTGCCCTCCCAAGGGCCCAGGTACCCACTTTTGCCTCCCTTTCTTGGGGGGTTTGAACAGAGGTCCCTGGATGCTGCCAGCCAACACAGGTCCTACCTGGACACGCACAACTGCATAACCCCACCCTTGTTTCACGACCCCCAGCTAGGCAACCTATCCCAGAGGCAGCCTGCACAGCCCCAGGTGGGGACAGGCTGCTGGCTTGTGTCCCCTCTCCCGGTGCTCCAGGGACAAGTTCAGGAAATGGCGAAGCAGGACAAGGCAGGAGGCTGGGGGCTGGGGGTCAGGAGTTGGGGCAGCCCACTCCCCACCCCCACCACTCCCACCACTCCCAGCCCTGCCCTTCCCTGCTGGCTCCCTGTGGCCTTTGAACCTTAGGCTTTATCTCTGCCTAGGTGGACGGGAGGGGCAGGCTTTCCTCTGCAGCCCCAGTCCTTGGGGTGTGGGCAGGCCATGCAGCTGGGAGCCTGAGGGCTGAGGACTGTCCAGAGTCCTGCTGTGGGCCCTCCTGCCCAAGAGCCACACAGCACAATGTCCCCCTTTCTGGCTGGACCCGGAGGCGGCTGGGTGGTAGAGGGAGTGGAGAGCCTGCCCGGGGCGACCCCGAGAGGCAAGGCCACCCTGCACAGCTCTGAAGACCTCGTTTGCTGTGGCCCACCCTGGACCACATGGCTGGCTGCAGGCCAGCTGCCCTGCTGCCCCTGTGCCAGGGCCCAGAAACCTCTGAGCCAAGGTCTTGGCCTGGGCCCGCCTGGCCTTTCCTGGAGTCTCTGCCAAGGTCAGACTGCCCGGGCCTTGAAGGTGTGTGCGTGGCCACCCACCCCCCCAATGTCCAGTGCTGGCCCAGGGCTCCCACTTGTGGCCTTCCCCACTCTGCTCCAGGCTGTCTGCATCCCCCATCATGCAGCAGCCGCAGCAGCCACGCTTGTCTCGGGAGTGAGACAGACAGCTCCTCCTGTGCGCTCAGTGGAGAGCCAGGCTTGACGACGGTGGGTAAGACAGGCAGCAGCCCGCAAGTGCAGGGAGCTACCCCTCCGGAGCCCAGAAGGCCACCTGCTGGGGCTGCAGGGAACAGGAGGGTGGCCCTGGGCAGGGGTGAGGGCTCAGGGGGGCAGGTTCAGCTTGGGGTAATGAGATATTTCTGAAGACGGCTGCACATTGTGAACTAGACCTGAAAACTGCTAAAGTGGCAAATTGTGGGCCAGCAGGTGGCACGTTGAAGGCAGCTGGATCCCACAGGCCCCAGAGAGTGGAGGAGAAGGAGCTGCAGTGTGGCCATCTCTCCTGGAGGGTGATTTCCCATTTTCTCCCTCTGTCTCTGGGGAGCACATGTGCCTTATAGCAAAAAATTTAAAAATAAATAAAAGGGTTGGGGACCAGCAGGTGGCGTGGTGGTTAAGGCGCTGGACACTCCCACATGGCCAACCATGGTTCAAATTTCAGACCCGGTGGCTTGCTTTCTCCCTTTTCCTCTCCCTCTCTCTCTCTCTCTGTATGTCTCTCTTAGGTCAAATTTAAAAAATGAATGAATTAATAAAATTAAATAAAAATAATTCTTAAAAAAAATAAATAAAAGGGGGACCAGCAGTTGGCGTAATGGTTGTCGCTGGACTCCCACGTAGTCGACCGCGGTTCGTGTCCCGGACCCGGTGGCTTAAAACTCACACTGGGCGCGTGTGCGTGCATGCCCAAGATCCCCAGAGGAGAATGGAGGAGGAGGGATTGCGGCGTGACCATCCCCCCCGGGTGGTGATTTCTCGCTTCCCTCTCTCTCTTCCTCGCGCAGATGCCCCCTAGAGCAAAAACCTCCCCAAAAAAAAAAAAAAAAGGGACATTAAATTAGATCAGAGCTGCCCCCTCCCCGGCCCTCTGCCCCCTTGGCTGCCCTTGACAGTACATCGTGGGGCTGCCCAGGTCATGCCCTGCTCCGACCCAGGCCTCTCCGCCCTGTGTTCCCTCGCCCCAGCCCCTGCCTGGTACATGCCCGCTGGTCTCAGGCTCTGCCCAACTCGGAGCCTCACACCTCTGCACACCCTCCCTCAAAGAAGCAGCTCTGCCCCAGCCTGTGTAGAGGATTCCTGCTCTGGGCAGGTGTCCGCCTCCTACATCCCTCCATCCGTGTGTACCCAGTGGCTGCCTCTGACCCCGGCGACCCCTCCCACGCAGCCAGCCCCTTTCCAGGCGCCCGGTCACATCACTCGCCCCGCGGCCACACCACGCTTGCCAAGGTACCACACAGTGTGCCCACGCCCCACTAGGCAGTGTGGTGTGCCGTCCCAGGGCAGATGCACAGGGAGAGGAAATGGACCCAAGGCAGCCTCTGCACACCGTTTCAGGTGAGGTCCACCCAGGGCATAAGACTGAAGACCTCCCAGAGGCTGGCAGGACCTGGAGTTGACCACAGAGCTGCACCTGAGGCTGGAGCACTGGGCAGCCTGCAGTGTCCCCATAGCAGGAAGCAGCAAGGGGTATAGCTTGAGGGTGCAGTGGCCACTGGCTCAGCAGGGGGTGGTGGGGACAGCCTGGAGTGCTGGCAGACTCCTGGGGTCTGCTAAGCAATGACCACGTCTGGGTATGGTGGCAACAGCCTCCTCAGTGGCCAGGGGGTAGTGGCCCCAGGCTGTGTGCTTTTTAAGCCTGCCCAGGGAGTTCATGCCAGGAGCCTGCTGCCCCAGTGACGCGGCCAGGGGAGGACACAGTGGTGAAAGGCCAGGCAAGCACACAGGGTTGGGGACAGTGGACTCCAGGGCTCTAGGCTCAGAAGGATGGGTGGTGAAGAAAGTAGAACACACAGCCCTCCTGGGCCTGCCCACAGCTGGAGGTCAGATGGCATCTTTATTGAGGGGAAGGGACCCTGCTGTCCTGACATGATGGGCAGACATAGACACGGCTGCTGGGGACAGTGAGACTCCCTGACATGCAGGGCACATGTAGGGGATGAGGGAGGGGCCCCGCAGCCCCCGCCAGGCCATGGCCACAGCTGGCTCAGGCATGCAGGAAGCGGTTGAAGGCATTGTAGGCGGACTCCAGGTCGAAGAGCATCTGACGCACCTGCGAGTCGTCCAGCTCATCGGACGCCGACATGCCACTCAGGGTCTGCAGCCTAGGGCACAGGCCACGGGGTGGGCAGGGGTGGCTGGGGCTGGGAGGGACTGCCGGTGCCACCCAGACAGGGACACTCACCACTGGCTGACCGTCTGGCGGCCCTCGAAGTCGGGCGGCAGGTGGCTCATGCGGTGCATGGTCTCCATCAGCTCCCGTAGGTCAGGCTGGATCTGCACCGGACAAGGTGCTAAGCCCCACCCCTCACGACTCCCG